AGAAGCGAACTTGGTTCTTCGTCTTTAGACGTCCGTATTTGCAGCCAGGCAAAATCCCATGCAGTTACGTACTCTGTGGCACAAGAGTGCCATCCAGCGGTAATTCCTAAACCTGTATTCGCCGAAGATTGTAGAGGTGACTAGTAGCAGGTACTGATTATACCTATGAACCTGACAGCTCCAAACCTAAACTCCTGAGTGGCTATTGCGAGGCTGAGAGGAAAACTTCTGTTAAAGAGTAATAATTTCTCCTTTTTTTTTTTTAATCAGTTTTTCATATTGAGATAGTTTACACAACGAATACAGATTATTGTTTACTTGAGCATAGGAACATGTTGAAGTGGGAGGCTCCTGGGCTAGCTAGACTGAGAACCAGTATGCACCACCATCGTAATATACGCTGCATATCAGCTAACAAACTGTGCCACTTTTCAGCCCCCCTTGATGGCAAGCCATTACTCAGTTCTGATAAGAACATGTCAATGCCGATTTGAGCATCCTTGTACAGAGCTTCACCACCTGCTCTAGATGTGTCCTGTGTAGGGGACAGAGTTGAGAGTGCAAGTCACCAAACTTTGCGGCTGGTTTCAGCTGAATATTTGTGCACCCAGACATCAATGTGACTACCGATATCTCTGATCTGCCAAGAACAGGCCCTAAATTCAGGCCCTCCACTTCCTGCATAAGTGCTTTATCTGCTCTAGTATATTATAAAAATGTCTTTTTAGAGGGAACACATGCAGTTGCAAAGACTCAGTCCCACTAACATCCATTAGAAGGGTTTGAAGATTACTTCTTGAACCGAGCCACTCTGGGGGCTTGAATGGAGTAACATAGTTTTTAGTTTCCGACTGAGGAACTGGGAGACAAACAAGTGCCCAGCTGCTTAGTTATGTTGCACTGGTGCAGATATGGGCACTGACAGAGAGGCTCTATATGGCAGAGTAGCTTATTTAAAAAAATACATCAGGTGGCTCAGGAATTTAGGCATGATGCAAGGTCAGACACAGCTCACTGGGATTTTTCGCTCTCTTTTAGATTTAGGAGCTCAAATTTTGCCCTAATTTCTTAGGTTTTGGACTTGGTCTGTAGTCAATAAAAATAAATTCTGGTTAAAACTCCATGTATTTATTGCAGATTTTACTGATCTACTTTATTCTGTCTCACCCTCTCCCCCATCTATAATGTATTCCTTTGTAGTTAACAGTATCTCTTGCAATGCAGATGTCTATAAATGATTATGCCTGATTCACCTATTTGTCTGGCCTGATTGCCCACAGATTAAACCATTTTGTACAATGTTTCTGTTAGTGTTCTATATTCATCTTACTTCTAAATAGTAATTAAATTATCTCGGGTTATGGGTCATGATTGCAGATAATACTTGCAAGGCAGAAAGCTCATCCCAATGAGCAGCACTTTCTGCAATGGTTTCTTGAGAAGATGCAGAAACAGGAGAAAGGATACTTTTATTTCTAGGTAAAACTCCATTTTGGTGCATCACTTGCACTACCATGTGAGGTGGGATGAGACACTGAAGATCCAGCTTGGTCCTGTGAACAATACAACGGAGTTCCTCCCTCTTATCCTCTGTAACATACCAGTGGGATGCACACAAAGAAACTGATAATTTTGCATTATTTTTATGGTCGTCTACTTCTACTTCACATGTCATTCTGTTCAAGAGTGAACAGGTTTGCACTAAAATGGTTCAAATAAATGATTTCACCTAGAATTGGCCTAGCCTAAGTAGTCATAGCCAAAACTATCTGAAATATTAAGGAGTGTTGAAAAGAAATGAAAAACATTTTCCACTGAAGAATAAATACTTGAATGCTGAAAATGACACTAATTTTTCAGGACTAAAATTAATATGGCTTGACCTATTAATTTAGTGCAGTACAATTGCTTTGAGACTATGAAAATAAGAAACCAGTAAATTAGCTACTTGTATACTTTGTAGCAATCCTTGTATTATACATATGCAGTGAAATGAAACAAAGGGTCATTTATATTTTTTAGCTCCATAGCAAGTAAGGAAAAAAAAAGTGTCCTCCGATATTTTCAGAGGAATCGGATTCCTTTTCTGCTAATGAAACCCATGCTGCAATCCACAATTCATTCAAAGTGTAAGAAAAAAACTCAAAACCTTCAAAGTCCCCCCTTCAAAATAAACAGAACCCAAAAGCTTATTACCAGAAACATAGATGTTGTTCAGTGTCTTCAGGATAGACACTGCGCCCTTGCATTTATCCCATAAAATGGGACAAATCTTTTGCTAGTCCCTTCTCGGATGAACTGCCTTCTACTACATATAATCTTATTGCTGGCTTCTGTGCACAGGTAGAGCAACCTTATGTTATCGGAATGCGAGTGCTCTGCCATTGCAAAAGGCTGCAGTGGACAGTTGCAGTGACAGGATTAACACTGATGACTTGTCCAAGCGAAGCTTTGGAGCAAAGGTGGAATACAGGGAAAATAATAATATACATTTTCTGAAACCTTTTTTGTGGCTTGCTATTTAGGAAATAAAAAATATTGATTGGGAGGTGTCTAAATTTAGTGAAACCTTGATAGTTTTCATACTTGATCAGATTAGAAATGAAAGGACAACTGGCATAATCACATCTATCCAGTGTGCAGACCTCAAAGGGTGAGCCAAACCAAAGTGCTCCCTGCAGATACATAAGGAGCTGCCACCTCCTGTTTCTGGTGTGGACAATATAATGTCGGAAATAATTAGCTAATCTTTTGTTTAAATAAAGCATTTGGAGAAAAAGCTAAAAATAAACACTGATTCATTCCTTGTCAGGGAAGTTTCTCCTGTCAATTATCACATTGTTACTGCTGTTTTTAATCTAGTCAGATGGTGAGATTGGCAATCCCTTCTGCAGGGGCTTCTGGGTGTTATTTTGTAGAGAATCTTGCTTGAAGGACTGATTTCTGCTTTTATGGGAGCCAGTGGGAGTTTGGCCACAGTCCTTCACGCATGTTAATTTGAGGGACTTCCAAATGTTAGCTAATGATCTCAGAGTTCTTTTTATGAAAACTGTGTGGGTTTGTTTTGGGGTTTGAGTTTGTTGGGGTTTTGTTGCCTTATTTGCTGGTTTGGTTTTTTTTTTTAATCCTTAGCAGGAGGCAATTAAGAAGGTCTGTGGAAAGTTCTGCACCATAGGTCTTGACCGGCCAGTAACATCTAAAATCCTAGCATGAAAAAATCAGCAGCATATATTGCTACCGTACTCAGATATATTACACATCATATAATATTATTTAAGGTTACTAGTTATATTATTTATAGTATTCCTATAGTCCAGGCCACACACTTTACATTGCTATGGACTGCGTGTATCTATTGGTCTCCACTTACGGTAACTTGAAAAAGCAATTGTGGTCTTTCTTTTTTTTAGGAGCAATACTAAGGAAAAAGCAGTAGCCTCCACTCCAAAGCAGGAAAACATGTCAACATGGAAAACAGAGGCACTGTGGGTGGGGGAGTTTCATTCCCGAGTGTTTAATAAAGCCTTATGTAGCTGTGAAGGAGAAGCAGAGAAAAAATAAAGGCAAACCCCGTGGAAGCTGAAGCAGACAAGCAGAAAGCCAAGGACGCAAGTCCAAGCAAGCACTGGGACTGTGGCTCAGAGAAGGCATACAGGGAGGGATCTTTGGGCTAAATGCTGACTTAAAAGAGCTTGGAACTGAGCGCAGAAACAAACAACTGCTCTCCGTACAAACAGAAACTTGTTTCTGGCTGCGTTCCGGCCAGAAACAAGATTTCACACATTCCTCGCGAGCAACAGGGCTATACCGCGGCACTCCACGGCTCCGGAGCGCCGCTCCCAGCAGCGCACACAGCTCGCAGGAGCCGCGCAGCCTCCCCGCCAGCCCCACCCTCTGCCCCGCAAGCGGACCCCGCCGGAGGGCGGACCCGCTCCCGCGATCTGCCCCCGGCACCCACCGGCTCCTCCCGGAGCCCATCCCCGCCCCGGGGACGAGCAGGATCGGCAGCGCACTGACCGCTCATCCGCGCGCCTCCGCGGCGCAGCCTCGGGTGGAAGCTGAGCCTCTCGCTAGCCCTGGGCTCGCCGCTGGCCTTGGGAGGTGAGGGGGAGCCGGGGATGAGGGAGAAGAAGGCCGCTACCCCTGCAAGTGGGGGGTGGGTCCCAGGTGCCGCTGCCGAAGCGGAACAGACCTGCCGCCCCCCGCCCCCAGCGCGGCAGCGCCCCTAGCCTCACGCCGTGCCTGACCGGGCCCTGCTCGCGGCCGAGGGCTGGCAGCCTTCTTTCCGCCGCGGTGCGGGCTGGGCCGCCCAGGGGCCGCGGGCGGGGATCTCACCCTCCTCCGAAGTTGAGTGCGTGTGTGTTCGTTTCATGCCGGGGGTCGGGGTGCGCAGGGTGCGGAGACCCTCTGTGGGGGCAAGCCTGAGGGGAGGCAGCGGGAGCAGCCACGCGGGTTTTACTCCTGGCCAAATGCCGGCTCACGAGAGCATTAATTTTCCTCTTTTGTTTTCTTTTTTTTTTTTTCATGGTTTTTTTACCTCCATACGCTGCCAGGACCGAGCCCCGGCTGAGACAGTGATCAGCAGCCCTCCGAGAGAGATGAAGGTGCCGAGGTGAGGCCTGCCCGGGGCACCTGCTACCAACACAGCCACCAGCCCAGGTGCCCGCCCAGGAGAAGCCAGAGCCTGTGGCCTGCACTGCCGCCCAGAGAAGGGGAGTAGAAGGCCGCTGGTGAGGGCACTGACCAGCTCTAGTGCATGCACAGCATCACAGGGAGCACTTAGCCTTGCAGCACACACGGTTGTACTGCTGTACACCACTGCTGTTGTACAGCTGTGTGCAGTTGTACACAAAGTTGCTTTCGTCCAACGGTACGAAAGGAAACAAAGCATGTGAAAGGAAGGAAGCAGCGTCAGCACTACGCAGCCAGGAGACTGCTGGGGAAAGGGGACCTGCAACTTCCGCGGTGCTGTGCATGAGGTCTGCGGTAGGGCCAGCCAGAGCTCTTTTATCCCCACTTCCAATTTAGGATATTCACCACCCTCCTTTTTCTCGTTCCCTTTTCCACAACCAAAGAGCATAAAGCACCAAAATGCCTTCTGCCAAGCAAATGACAAAGAAATGCAACCATCCAAAACCTAAGCCAAAGTGCATCTGGCTTGGGATGAATATTGGACCACGTTAGCTGGGAGTGAGGACTTTTCGGAAAGCCAGGCTCCAGTCAGAAATACACCCTGTCATTTGGAGTCTGAATATGAAAACAGCTTGCAAACATTTTTTTCAGGCTTGTAACAAAAGACTTGGTCCTTCTTTTGCTCTGGTATCTAGGCTACATTGTGCAGGCTCATGCATATCACTGGTTTTATTCACATGAGTAATTCCATTTGAATTTGGAGCGACAACTTGTATGTGCAAAGTTACTCATATGCTTTCTGTTTCCTTTATATTTTGAAATTATGTGGGTTTTGTTGGGTTTGGTTTTTGTTTTCCATTTGCTGGTGCAGTCTAGTTACTGTTGGCATCAAGGTTATTGTGAACCATCATGGTTATTATTACCGTTTGTCAGCTTGACACCTTTGTTTTCCTTGCCAGACTAAAAGCTTCTCTATGCAACCTATTCCAGCTATGCAATTGTATCATCTGTTTTTATGCAACCATCTTTCACCTGACAGTGTAAATTCATTTTCCTTATAAAAGATCCTTTTTGTACTCATTTTTTTCTCCAGTCATTACTGACAGTCTTTCCAGTTGTGCCAGCTGAGTCTTTCTCATGCAAGTGTCTCATGACTTCTCCCATACTGTGTAATCTAAATTCATACTGATTCTAACATGATATCTGGATGTTTTAATATTTGCCAGCATTTGGAACATTTTATTATTCTCATTGCCATATGCTTTCTCTTTACTCATATTTCTTCAAGCTACAGCTTCTGCTGTTCTCATAACCTTGTATGTCTTCTCTGTTCCATTGCTCCATGTTCGCCTAAGGGCAAAATGTCTTGGGGACAAGAAAAACACATTGTCTATCTTCCATGAAATGCGGCATTAAGTTGTAAGTGTGGCTCAGTGTTTTATTAGATGTTCCTTTTCCGCAGTCAGGGGATATAAAGAACAAACAAGCAGAAGTCAATGCGTACCTTTTTTTAATGGAAGATAGCTTTTCACGGATATACTCTCAGCTGTCAAGTATATACTATAGTACTCTGATTTGTGCCTGAGGAGAGTAGGCAGACTGGGCAGCCACTGACTGCTTTGTCAACCAGTGTCTTTCTTCCTAACCTAGCAAATTTTGTGAATTAGCACAAGTAAAGTCTCCATTAGGAAATAAAGTATTTTGAAGCTGCTGCAGCAGCAGGTCATGAGATGTCAAGAAGATGCATTCAGTTACACCTAAGTACAGATTTATTACATTGAATCTCCAGGGCATCTATCTACTGTGCCTTAAAAGAATCCAACAAGTAAGTTTTTGTGAAATTGCCAAATGATGCCTTCCAGGCACACTGAGTGCCGCTGTTTCTGCGGGGAAGGGGTGATGACCCATGTATTGAAATTACCTGTTTCCAGTTGTGACAGTACAGATTACTTACAGGGAAAGGGTAAAGGCCAAATAAATCTCTTAGTCTGCCCTGTAACATGGTGGGAGTTTCTTTTTCCTTAAAGTGAGAGGACCAGGAACTGTATTTCCCAGCTTTGCCATATCTAGAACGTGAAAAATTACCTGTTCATCTCAGCTAACATCCAAAGAGCCATCTTGCTGCAGTGACACCTCAAAGTCAGGGCATCTATCCCAGTTATATGGTAAGACTGTAACAGAAACTGAGCTCTTGACACGTCTACAGATGGAGTTGCCAGCAAGACCCGAAGGAAGATTTGAAAAGCATACTGGATTTCTGGAGTAAATATTCTATTAAGGACCAAAAATAAATAAACCACAGACATTGATTATCATCACAAACTTTGGTCAGGCATGGCTGGTGTACTGGATATATATGTCCATAATATGCTGGACTTGTGCCACCTACAGATACGTATTTCTGGAAGTTTTTTCTTCAAAATTCATTCAAAATAGGTTGCAGCCAAATGATTAATTGGAGTGCTGGAAATCATAATTAAGGTTACTTGGGGACATCTATTACTCAAAAATAATATATAGTTTCTTCTATTTATAAAAAGCCCTGTTCTTAAAAAAAAACCCAGCCTCCCCCTCAAAAAAAAAACCAAAACCCCAACAAAACCCAACAACTGGATTTTTAATTTATTAAGGAAAATAAGGCATGAAAGTATATAGATGTATATAGATGTATTTATTTTTTGTTAGTACCATAAAACTTATTTCAGTACAGTGGCAAAGGTAATTTCCTGATTGATATACTAGAGGTGTATATAAATGTGTAACAATCCCAGAAATATTTTAAGTACTCAGTTGTTTTTTTTCCAGATACCACTCCCTTTGCAGTATTAGGGAAATTAAATATTTATTGTATTACTCCAAGCCAGGTTGTATTTGTTACCTTTAAAATGAGAAATATACCTAGCACACAGAAAATACAACTAAATATATTTATACCTCTTTATTTAACAAACTCTTATATTTATTACTTCTTAAGAACTTTGTAATATAGATGGAGTAGTGCTACACACTAATGAATATAATGAATTTATTTTCTGAGTTAAAGCTTCTAAAAATAAAACCAAAAGAGAATATATTAATAATATCAATTTGCAAACTTAAAATTTGGAATTATATGCAAACATATAAATTTATTCTGAAAATTTTAAACTAGAGCTTTAATACTAATGTTGTCTGAATTAAAAGAATGCAGTGCTTTGCCTGCAGAGCTCAGAAGCAGGCAGACAGTGTTCAGAGGAGAAATTTGTGATGCTGTCATCTGTTTTGCAGTAAAGATACCAATGCTCTTGGTGATCTAAGGACTCCACACTTCAGAAGTAGTAGTTATATATGTAGGTTTACAGTATATAGAAACTAATTACACATGACTGTTCTAGAAGAGTTACCTCCTTTGAAATACCTGTTCAAGACATTCTGAAAAAGCATTCTGAAGCAGTGAAATATAACAATGATAATGTTTAAGAATACTATCCTAAAACTTGCTAAAATTCCAATAAGGCTTATTCAACATTAAAGCTTTTCAGATTTTCTGTAAATTTTCAGTATGTTCACTCTAAGCTTTATAAAGCCAGTGGGGGTGTTTATTATTTTACTTTAAAATACCTGTCATTTTTCTGAACCCTGAAATCAGGATGGAGCTGGGGCCCTGTTTGGACTTGTCATTTTACAAATCCTCTTTCTGTCCTTCCACTTCCCCCTATAAGAAGAAATAACCATTTTCCATCTTCTTCCTTTTGACTTGACTACTTCAGTTGTGAGCTCAGTCATGTAGTACCTGCATGTTTTACAACACATAGCAAAAGCAGGGCCCTTACTTCAACTCAGAATTCTAATAATACAGAAATATTACAGGTAGCCTATATTCCTAGAGCCAGTCTGGACTTTGAAGCTGAAATTCTGAAGCTGAGCATCTCTGAAAATTAGTTCTTGTATTTTGAAAACAAAAAAAAAACAACAAACCAAACCAAAAAAACCCAGTCCAGAAGCAGTTCATAACAATTTGATTTTAGGAAATAATAAAATAGAAAACTTGAGGATACTAAAGTTTATCACACGTAGTAAAGCCTTGCAAGTAAATGTGGTATACTGAAGAAAAGCCTTGCCCTCTAAACTATCCTAAAATAAGTGGGTTCATTTTAAAAACTTTGTAACTGCTTCACAAGTCTTCAGTCAGTTTCCTCCTTATTCATGCAGGCAGTCCCATTGGAACAACCATTACAATAAAATTGCCACTAAAGAAAAGGTTTCTAAGATAAGTAGAACTGGGAAGATCTGTTATTATTTTTGAAGAGCAATAAAAAATAATATAATACAGTGTTCTGCATGCGGAGGTTCAAGGGTTGAGTTCAGAAAACTGGGTAATTAACAAGAAAATAAACATACACACACTGCCCTCCCAACCCCCCCCAAAAATAGTTCCTACTTTCTTTCCCCCATATGAGTGGTTTCATATCTCATTATATTTCAAAAGGCCAGATCCTTTTAAATCTGAAACAGTTCTGAGTATATTGAAAACAGATGGAAATGAATCAGGGGCCTGAGGTAGAAAAAAGCTGTAATGAAGATCATATTTAAGTAATATTTTAAATAAATAAATCATTTGCCTCTGAAACCACATCTAATAAAAATATAAATAATTATATAATGAACATATAAACTACATTTCCTGAAGTAATTCCTGTCTTTCTACATTTCCTGAGTTATTTGTATTATGAAACAGTAGTGTGGTACCATTAATTGATAAGCACTCTGTGCTATAGTTACCATGCTAATTGCAGCTCTTTAGGTCCTTGTCTCGCAGCTCCTCCAGCCGCTCAACAATTGGGATTGATTGCACAGGAGCTATTTTTAGAATGAAATAGCAGAAGAGTTTGGAGAACAGCAGCCATTTTTTGTGTGTATGCTACATCTGTTTTGGGGGGGGGGGGGGGGGAAGGAAAAGTTGAATAAAAATGCCCTGAGTTATCCTTTTGGGTATTTTTGTGGAAATCCTGCTGAAGTTGGAGCTTCCTATTGGATAACTGATCTTGCTTGTACCAAGTTGAAGCTGAGGTCAGGGTTGCATGACGCAGAGGATACTGTTCAGTGACACTGATCTCAGGAGAACAGCAGTTTTTTCTCTGGGAACAGGACTGTTAAGGCGAACAGCAGATGAACTTTGGTGAAGCTGGTTCTATAAAAAGGCAATGCAGGAGTCAAGTTTGTACTTTAAAATACCAGTGATGAAAGGCAAGACTCAAGATTAACTTTGAATGTGCTTTTTCCCCAATTCTGAAATAAAACAGTTTGTGAACTGCGCTGTTTGAGTGATTTTAGGTCTGCTTCCAAGAATGCTTTATGCTGAAAGGGTAGTATATAGCCATGTTTCACAGGGGTCAGTTGATGCTCAGGTGTGACTGGGAGGAGGCACCCATTCAGTTAATCCCAGATTGGCTTTTTATTATCCCACCCTGCTCGCCTGCTTTACACAGAGTTCAGCTAGGGTAGATAAACAAGGGGACAGGCTTTTGTGGCTAATCTACTATATAAAATCAGGGCTGTCATCTTCTCTGAATGTTTGTATAATAGAAGGCAAGGTTTGCAGGAAGAATAACAAACATAAGTATGTAGGAAGAGGAATAACCAGTTCTATAGCTGAGGAAAAAAAAAAACAAACCAGTACTCAAGGGGACAAGCCTATTTTACCTTTCTAAAGATTAATAGCAAAGACCTATCATGTCTTGCACATTATATCAGGAGTAGTAATACCTCAGCACTCTCACACAGCACTGTATCAGCAAGTTTGAAATGTTTTACTAAGGAGGAGTCTTTGTCCAAGTTTAGCTGTAGAAGTAAATAAATTAATTGGCTATGGTTACCACAGAAGCTTGGCAGAGTTAGGGGGAGAATCTGTGTTTCATGACGTCAGCTGCTTTTCCCTTTTCAGTGGCATGCTGTAAAGTATTACAGACACCTATAATGCGTCACTACTCCATAACTGCCAATTCCCCTGGAAAAGAGAAATGCACACCTTTGTAAATGCTGCCAATCTTGTATTCTTTCAGAGACAACATACAAAGAATATACTTTGGGTTTCTACAATAATAGCTTATAATACTAGTTTGCATAAAAAAAGCTTTGCATTTGAATAGCTAGTCTTGCCAAAATATGCTGCAAGAAAATCTCTAGCATGTTTTTTGTCACTGAATATATTCGTCTTGCAAATGATAAATTTTAGACATAAATTGGATGATAAATTAGATTAGATGCATTAGATGCATTTCATATTAGTATGAAACAAAATATATATTAAAAATTACTATCTTCTGTAGCTTGTTTTGTTTATCCTGAAATTATGTGCAACTTCCCCTGGACTTCTCTGTAAGTACCTGAAGAGAGGGATGGAGTAAGGATTCATCTTGTAAATATTTTGTTTGAGTATAAATAGCGAGAAGTACAAATTTCAAAATAGTCAAATAGTCAAAATATAGAGTTACACTTTCTCCAAATAGAATATTAAATATCTGACATAGCATATTGTCCCATTGTGTCTATTCTGATTTCAGGAATCAAAGTAACAGTTAAGCTGTTCATATTTTATAAAGGCTGTGTCCTAACTTTCTGTATGTTTAACAGTGAGAGAGGTCAGTAGTATTAGGGAGATACGAAGGGCTACAGTTCACTTGGTATTTTTAGGACAGTAGCAGTGGTGATATCCCAGAAAATGCAAGGACCTGGGATAATACACATGCTACAGAAACATTTCATACCATGCATGGTACTGTCCCAAGGTCAGCTAAGCTTTCTTTCACCAGCTCAGCACAAGCTTGATGGAGCCAATTTGATTTTAAGGAGGAGTAGGTACCAGTCTTCATGTTCTAGAATTACAGGAGGCTACTGCTGTTCTGGCCTTGAGCTAGCTGCTGAGGCAGCACACAGTGAGTGCTTGAAGACATCTACATCTAAGCTGACTTTGCAGATAGAGCTCAGACTATCAGCATCTTCAATAGCCTACCTGCTTAAATGATAATTTAGAGGTGTAAAGGGCTTCTTTTTTCCCAGATTTTACATTGGCACTTTGCCGACAGGTACTTCCTACAGCAGGGGTTGTGTAGGAATGGCCACTATGTGCAGCGCAGCAAGCTGTGAACTGGAATGACTGAGTTTTAAGTACACACCTTGTGTCTACACCCAGTGGAGCAGCAAACTGGAGCAGTCATGTTGCAGCTGATCTGCCAGGGCAAATCTGCTAGAACCTTGAGGAAGGAGGTGTAATGAAAGGGCAACGAGGACCAACATGAGCTGAGAGCTACAGGATGTTATCCACTGGGATGTATATACGTACACACTCAAACTAGACAAGTGAGTCATGGAAAACACTGTAACTGTGGAAGAACAAACATTACTTTGCAGTACTTAAGAGTTAACAGTGTGTCCGTACTGACAGATTGTTACCCAACAAGTTCCACCCTAGGTCCTCAATAGGTCTGGAATATGGCTTTCACAGAAAGAGTCTTGGAACTGGGAGACTTTGTCATCTCATTTGGTGACATGTATCACCCTAGATACGTTATCAACACAAATCTCAGTATTTAGCCTAATGCCAACAATATTGTGCTTCATAAAATGACCTACTTCAAAACAGTGATCATGATATATATTAAAGATGATTAATAGAGGAATATTGTTCCTGGTACTTCTGTCTTCGCAGAACACAGTGACATCTTGTGGCAAATGAGGGGATAGTGTTACTTTTTTCGAGATATATCCTATTTCAGGTGGTTTAAAGATGAATCCCTAAATAAATTCCAGACAAATTATTTCCTTTACCTGTAATATTAACTCTTTCCGAATTTTGTTTTAAGTACAGGTTTGTTTTAGGTTCTATTTTAGCAGCGAAAAAAGAGTGAGCCTTGGTTCCAGCATATTGCACATGTAGGGTATGGGAGTTTAGCACTTGAGCTCACCGATGTTCTTTGGAAAACGTTCAACTCCAGGAATGCTCCTGTCCTATCCTTGCTGATACAAGACTCTGCGAGTCAGCATTTCAAACGCTTTACTTAAGTTAGCCTATTATTATAGATTGCCAAAACTGTCAGGGTGCTTTTGATGGGAATGAAGAGAAAACACAGTAACTTTTTATCACAAGGCAGATAGAAAAAAAAAAAAAAAAATCTTCTTTCCTCTCTTTTTTTTTTTTTAACCTAAAGCTATTTTTTCTTTTTTTTTTTTTTTGTCTTTTTATAGACCAAGCAGGGTTTAAGTCCTGTCCCTGCTGTTTTGGGATCCTCCCCTGACATGGCTGTCCTTTGCAAGTTGGTATTTGGATAAAATTCTAGTTGTCAGCATGAAAGGAAAAACTGCACAGTGTGACTGGAAATCTGCATCCCCAAAGAAGGCCTCTCCCTGTGACCGATATAAACATGCTTGCATTATTTGTAGAGGATTTCTTTATCTCTATGGAGGACGGAACACCACCAGTCTTAGAGATTTTTGGCGATACAACATCGGTAAGTTTGCTCCTTTCACTTGTATATCAGGATTAAAGAGATTCTACATCCAGTCATCATAAAACCTGGGACACTGTACTTAAGAGATGAACACTTTATCGCCATATAGTCTCTCAATCAAAATGATGGCTAAACTGCATTTTGTTCATTGAGCAAATGGTATGTGTTCATTACTCTTGCAGGTATCTCAGAAATTTCACCTCCTTTTTTTTCCCTTGACCAGAAATATTGGGTCATTTAAAATACCCTAGTTCTAACAAGGCCTATCTTCACTCTATAACATGGGAATAGTTTATGCATGTGTAATAATGCACTATCAAATATGACCCTTTGTATTTTTTGGTGTTCCCTGTTCAATTGTTGCTGCTAGAGAACCACATATAATTGTGCTGGGGTTCATGCTCACACAATAGTTGAGTTTTGGTGCAGGTAACAGTATAAGAGCGTATAAAAAATATATAAAATATATAAAAATATAGAAAAGCAATAACAAGTTCAATTTCTATTACATTTTAAGTTTGCTAAATAGAAGGGGAAGTGTCTCAATGTTCTGAACTAATGGAGAGGAAAGATGACAAAATGCTTCATTTTTCCCCACTGACTGATAGTGCAGCCGAATTCAAAGCCAATCTTTTCACCTTTTCCCTAACATTTTTGAACTGCTGTCTTTACTTCAACTTTGGTTTATAGTCAAAAATGAATGGGAAATGCTGGATTGCTCAAGAGATGGTCCAGAAGAACTGGAGGACCATTCAATGGTGGCTTATAAGGTAGTAGACCAAGATTTATATTGTTCATATCCTGATATTTTATTTCCTATTATGCAATTAAATAAAATGCCATAGATTATTACGTACAGAAAATACTTTTATGTCAGTGCAATTCTGGATGTAGCTGTACCAGTGTTTTGCATACTTTCTGAATAAAGTTACAGCAGTTTAGCTTTGCAGCAGTGTGATTTCCTCAGTCATTGCTCAATACATAATAGTGATACAAAATAAAGACCTTGGCAGCACATTCTTTGACTTAGTAGTATAGTTGTAACAGTTGCTTTGAATTCATTTGCATGATAAGCTACAGCATAAAAACATTCACTTAAGAACTTGCACTGAAGAGAGATGAGAGAGTGAAGGCAAATAACAATTGCAGTTTTGCCTATGAGAGAAAAACAGGATTTAGGATATCAGGAGCTGCAATGCAATGAAATATTTCTATAAACATGCAAAATCTAATATTACCTGAGCAATGTCTCCAAGAATTCCAGATCCACATCCCTCAAGCTGTCCTAGATTTGAGAAGGCAATGAGTGGTTCTGGAATGCTGTCCCCATTAAAATAGCAGAATGTTCACCACGGTTTCCTTCTGGGAGGGGATAAAGACAGTATTAAAAGTTGGTGGCATTTTATGATGGCCTCCTGAATTGTTAGTAGATCATCATATCCATTATTGTTAATTATGTTTTGGTGATGGCAGCCTTTTTATTTAAGAGTTGTTTTAAAAACTGCTTTTATGCTGTATGTCTACCTGTCAGTAAGAAATGCTTTTGCATTTTGCAGGGGAACCTGTACATTTTTGGTGGGATGGTGGATTCTGCTTTTACGCAAGCGAAAACTCCTCTCTGGATATATGACACTGGTATGATACACAATAGCCAGTCTTTTCCATGGAACATTCCAAGTCCATAGGTACTAATAAATAGTAAGAACCAAACTGTTTTCTGCTGCTTGTAACATAGTCTTCCCTAGGCTTTACAAGAAGTAATGTCTGTAAAACTGTGTGCAAATTTTCCCCCTAAAATTAGGCTGTTAAGCTATCAAAGAGTCAGCTCTTACTTTAATTAGAAAGTATTTTATGGGGAAGTTTTACGTATTTCAAGCTCTCAGAATTTCCATTCCTCTCTCCTTCCCTCTGAAGTTTACTGTTTCATCATAAACCCCAATAATTATTACATATAATATTTAAAGGTTTTTTCATTATGTTACATATATTTTAAAACCCAAGCTCTTTGTTTTATTATGGAAGAAAGTAAATCAGTGAACTATAGACCTCATTTGGTGTTTTTACTGAAAAAAAATACACAAGCTGGCAACAGAAATGATGGAACAGGAAAAAAACAATATAATTAAATAAGAAGGTAGGAAATTAACATCAGCATTTCCTAACACAGGCCATTTTTTTTTTCTTTTTTTTTCATGAGAAAAAGCATTTGATATCTCTTAAGTATGTATTCTAATAAAAGCAGTGCAACATTTGAATTTAATAGCAATGTCATACACTATATATTCTCTGTTTTGAAATACTGCGTATAGTAATAGCTGTTTATTTTGATGGCAGATGGAGGAAAGAGAGAGAGAGATTGAGTTCTTTTTGAGCTAGTAAATCTTGTGGCAAGACCAAGATTTAAGTTCCCTGGCTTCTTTTGCTACTTTACTATGTAACTTTAAAAGTTAACGTTTGGGTTTTTCTAAATCCTTTCTTTGCTTTCCACCATTTATCTGAAATACTTGCTGAAAGAACAGAGCAGCTCAGGTACAATATATTCCATAGGAAAAAGCATTTTATTACTCACAGTACTTATCAGTGAAAACTGGGAATGAGATACTCAAAATCTGTTGCATGTCTAGTTTTTTCATGGTCATATTTAAAATCTTTCCTGGCAAGTATAGCTTTTAGCACTGTAAGCTTGCAATGCTTTCTCATTCTACCTCTGGTGCTGGGTACCTAGTATTTTCTCTCCATTATGGTAATCATAGATCAGTGATTTCTGACTGTTACTTGAGGACTAATTTTAAGGGATCTGTGAAAAGGAAAAAGGGCAAGGCTGTTGTCGTAAGGTTTACATAGTAAGTAGGAGCCATACATCCGTCAGTAAATATGGGGGTTCTGCAAGTTCAGAAAATGCTGAAAATCGCAGATTATTTCTGCACTGTGAAATTTAGCCTGAGGAAACAGCAGGTACAGTATGGTATCTCCATGATTCAGTATCAGATAAGGATACAGAAAAAACATTTAAGCTATGTCTCCTGTAAGTCTTTCGGTGCTGCTGTTTTACTGTGAAGCAGATTTCTTCTTGCTTGTCAGTGGAAAACGCCAGGATGAGACTTACTTGAAAATGAGATCAGTAATTTGAAAAATTAACGTTGGAGGAGTGTCCTCTTGTGGTCTGGGATATAAACTGCGCTTTATTAAAACAATCCCCTAGATTCTGCAAGATGGACAGAGTGCTGTAACGTACCAGCAGAGACTGAGGTAAGGAGCCAGGAAGTGGTGAATGTGTGAATCAAATGCCTGTTGCTTTGTTGATTAAACAGATTGCTTTGAAATATGTTCCCCCAAACAGTTCCAATCTCATCTCTTCGGAGACATGTGGCTATACTTTATTTCTTTGCACTTTGAATAATGAAGGCTTTTTCCTTCTTTAAATCAGTATTTGAAAATATGGCTCTTAAATTTTAAGGCCTATATAAGAAGGTAAGTCCTCTCCTCTACTATTGTTTCGGTTTTGTGATATCCTTATCAAGGAAGCTAATTTTAAGTGGAATATTGAAGTCTGAGCTTTTAAGAAGTAGTGCTGTGAAAACAGATTGGCAGCTACACTAATAAATTTTAAAATGTGAACAAAAGAACAAACCAAACACTTGCCTTATATTTCATTTTGGGTTTAGCTGGGCCTCCCCAGATTTGGGTTTACGAGTCTCAGCAGTGCCAAAAGCTGTTGTAGGCACAGTGAGAACCACCTGGTTTCCTTCTCAGAGTCTGGGCAGAGTCTGGGACTTGTGGTAGGCAAATTCACACCAAGTACCATGAGGTAGTTCCTCCTCAGTGAGGAGAGGTTCAGGGTGGTAGAAAGGGCTACATCCCCCATTATAGTCCCAAGAGTTGACCAATGTATTTACAACATGCCCTGAAACTTTGCCTACCAGTAGTTGTGAACGCAGTAGTACTGATGGGAGTACTCCCATCAGGGAAGGCAGTAGGTATTGTGGTGGACTTAAAAAGGGAGGGTTGCTTAGATTTGGGAATGGCTTCTATTTGCATCAATACAAGTCATCAGTGGTGGATTTATTCTGAATTTTCAAAGAAGTTTAACAAAACCCAAAGCCATGGCTTTCATTACTTGGGAATATTCCCAAGACAGACATTGCTACTGATACAATTTGATCTGTTAACAGTGTTTTGTTGAACTGTTTTAGAGCTTGTCACCAACTAACAGAAAAGGTCACAGTGCAGTAGTATACCACTCCAGTATGTACATCTACGGGGGGTACTTCGGCATCAGAGGCATTTCACAGGAGTTTTGGACTTTTCATTTTGGTAAGTTAAAAAGCATAAGGTTTTGAGCCAGTGTACGATCAAAACAATGACTGCTGTAGGAAAGCATGCCTGGCTCTGTTAAATAAATTCGGATCAGTAGAAATGTTCAGTTAGTTTTGGCTTCTGTTTGGCAGCATTTAATTATGAAGTCTGTCAATTAAACTAATACCCAGCTGAAATGAATTGTACTGGAAGAGGTTTTGTGGTGTTTGCCAATTTTAGAGCTGAAAATCAGGGAGACTGTTTTGTTCACTACTCATTCGAGTCTTCAAGGATTACCAAAAACTGTCAGATGCAGCAAGGACCCTGACTTCAGCCTATTGATGCCACCTTTTGAATCTCAGATCTAGAACTGACCATGGGGAACCAAACCTGACAGGAGATGGTTTCATTAGCATATTCATCACTAATCTGGTGGTTGCAAATCAGATGATTCCCAGAGGCTTCCTAAATGGATAACTTTTGTTATCTGGTGGCCATTCAGTCACTATTTTGAAATGAATGATAGGTTTATCTCATCCCTCATTCCCTCACAGGGAGAATAAGCATAGATATTGCTGAAGGAATGTTTTTGTTGACTGTTTTTTCCCCTCTCACAGCCAGAAAATTATATTTCTGTGTCAGAGTTAGTGAATTAACAAAGCTGTAGGAAAAACTGCTCTGTAAATAAGATTTCCATGACATCTGTCATACAGCAGCTGACATTTTCAGTAAAAGTTTATTTCAAAACTGATTTTTGAAATGCACTTTTCAGTGTTAGAATTTATGCTGTTAACTTAAAGCAAGCTTACAGCAGAAACCCTTATTCTCCAACAGCATAGTTACTTTCTTCTTGAAATAAATCCCTTGTGAAATACTAGGGATATTTACTAGGTAAATCTGGTACATCTATAAATGAGTATTTTGCTTTCAGATACAAGAAAATGGTTGTGTGTTTCCACCCCATCTCACAGTATTGGCCCAGGACCTCGGCATGGCCATTCAGCAGTGGTTTATCACACAGGCATGTACCTCTTCGGAGGACTGATGGGGCTGAGTGAACAGAAGGATTTATGGAAGTGGGACTTTGTAAACAGCAGCTGGTCCAACATCAGAACAAGGTAAATGATACTATTTGTTACACTAAATTAGCACAGAAAGAGAGAATTAATCTTACCATTTGATACTGTATGCAGGCAGAGAGGGAGATGTTGTCCTTTCAATGACTGTGGGAATTTCTCAGATCAAGACGTAGTACTGTTGCCACCCCTTGGGTGCCAGTTGGCTTTGCTTGGAAGAGCTGTTGGCAATGTGTTGATGCAGCTGTCAGCAGTGCAATTTTGATGTCCCAGTGCAGCTATTTAGTAGTCATTCTTCTGAGTCAAAAGAAAAAGAGAGCCTAAAATCAGTGTCACTTTCCTGCTGATCGCCCCTTAACTGCTGGTTTCTCTTACATTTAGCCAAGGACCTCCTCCAGTGGTAGGTCATGCTTCAATAGTCTTCAAAGACTCCATGCTGATTTTTGGTGGAGGGATTTCAAATTCCAGTCCTAATGATGACCTCTGGAAGTATCATTTCAATACACAGACATGGAAGAAGCTTAGCATTATCACCAAGGCAAACTTTTCTCCTAAAATGTATCACTGCATCTTAGGAATTGGTATTGGTTTCCAAACTACTTCAGATTTCACTGACACGTTCCCTAGCCATTGGAAGAGTAAGCAGAAGGACCATTACCAGCTGGTGACCATCCCAAAGCACACTCGCCTTTGCAACTACTTCCGTCAGCAGACCGCGTACCAAGTGCTTGGCAATGAGGAAAGCGATGCAATTGAAATGAAAACCTTTAGCTTGCCTCTGGGCTTTTGTCCATTGCAAACCACTTCAGAGGCAGAACTACACCCTAACAGAGCAACAAGCATTTTGTCAAAGGATGGGTCTCTGTGTCTGCTTGTCTCTTCAGAAGAAGAGACTTTTGCTGCTGCTCAGATGGTTGGAGAAGAGGAGGGAGCCAGCTGTCAGCTCGCACCTGCAGTGGATACCGATGTGCTGCTGCTCATTGGGGGTAAACCTTTGTCCAGCTCATCTGAGATCTCAGTCAGGCAAATGGAGTTTGACAGCTTGTGATCTCTTTGATTGCAGTCACCACAACCATGCCAGTAGGTGGTAAACCAACTGCTTGCAACTGTCTTCAGTTTCCTATGGGCACACTGGAGAAAAAGTAGTAAAACCTCATACCAGCTCTGAATAGATTTTTACAATGTGAACAAACCCTAACACATATTTTAAGTTAGAAGTTGCGATTTCTGAGAGGAGCATGTTGGAATTATGCTTTTTTTTTGTTACTCTTCTTCTCATCAGTTAGTATCCTTTCAAATTGCAGTGACTGATGCTGCCTTGAAAACTGGAACAAATAACCCCTACAGCTCCGTAACTGCTATTTAAGGCTCAAAGCTTGCTTATTTTGCACTGGCATAAGAAATATATATGCACTTTGAAACCTGCATTTGAATAAAGTTTGTGCGTGTTTTGGTCACATTGGAGGGGTATGATGAATCTTAACAGCAACATGACATGGCCTAGACAAATTAGCAAGTGAAACGTAGAAGATGCTCAAGGATTGCATTTAATCCTGGGGAAGTGAAATCATGTGCAGCATTAGAGCAGAGGAAGTGCATTACACCTGGAAGAACAAAACAGTTGCCAACTGAATGGTAGGCTTAATGCCTGAGCACAGGATCAAAAGGAGAAAAAATGAAAAGAGGAAGGCTTGACAGGAGTGGTGACTCCTGGCTGGTAACTCAAATTTTAGCCACAAAGAGATTTCTGTGTTTCTGACTCCATCTCTCTGTGTTTTGTCAACGTACATAGTATTTGTTACACTTTCCCCTGTATACTAACAAATCCTGAGTTCATGCGTGGCTTGTTTTAATATTCTGAAAAGAAAATGTGCTTTTTTTTTTTTGAAAGAGAATATTGTCCAGGATTTCAAGCATTTGTTTCCATAGAAGTTACTGAGACACTGGCCTTCTGACTGCACCTCAGCCATCTTTAAGAAGAGATCCTGATAACTAAAATTACTGGAAAGTGTAACTTAGTACTTCTGAAATTTGAAAAGATCACTTTTCAGAAGTTCCATGGGAATAATGAATTTGAAGTGAGAGTGTTTACAGATACTTCCATCACCTCTTTACAAGTAGCTTTCACATTAATTCAATAGGAAAATTATAGATGAGTTCACAGAAAAGCTACCTGAGAATTATTTGGACTTTCCATGGGCTTTGTTTGGAAACAGAGAGGATTGTATGTAAATAAATCCTGCTGCATTTCATGTCAGTGTGTGCCCATTTCCTGAGCTTTCATGAATTTAAAGTATGTGTTTATGTTTTCAAGCAGAACAAAGAACTTACCTTTCTGAACAAGGGCCCCAGTAATCTCATGGCACTTCAGCCAGCCCAAGCTTTGAATTTCTTCTCCAAGAATGGGGAATTGCTTGGTTTGGGGAGGTGTGTTTAAAGGATGTCAACAGGCCGATTGAGTTGAGCATATAGAACACTGTAGTTCTAAATCAGCAGCATGTTTTTCCTTTGCTGGCTGACATGCCTTGTTTTGGCATTCTCCAGAGAGTTGCTGTAACATACAGACTTTTATCTAGGGCTGACAAGGAAAGAAAATTTAACTGGAAAGGGCAACAATAAACCAGTGATTTTCCAAGTTGCAGGAAGGTTTCTTGGCAGCTTCAGATATCCTGGGGATGTGCAAGAGCCCCGGGAAAATGCCATCCAGCCTCTGTCATTCCTTTCTTCCTCCCTCCCAAACTCTCTTCCCTTTGGCAGCCCCACAAAGGGTTTAACATTTACTTGGAGCCAACACAGGCAGGACACAAGCCAACCCAAAGGCAACAGCTTGGCACGGGGTGGGAAACACAGCTTGCAGAATGTGCCCATCTCCTCTGTTTCTTCCCCTGGCCCCTGCTGCCATTCCAAGTCAGGTGGCTGCATCAGCACCTTCAGCAATCATCGCCAGCTTCTTCACCCAAGAGATCCTACACCTCCCAAACCAGCCTGATACCACAGGGGTCCTCACTGTTGCTCACCCCTGGACAGACATGAGGTGTGCAGGAGCCTGGGGAAGGGCTGTGGCTGGAGAAATGGGGGGCTTGGGGCTTACTTGCTGGAGGCTGAGCTGCAGTTAGTCCTGATAATGCTGTAAAAATGGAGAGAGCTCCAGTCCTGAAAGTGGGAGACTGCTCCAGCAGACTTGCTGAAGCCACTGGAGGCTACTTCTCCCCTTGCTGGCCAATTCCTAGGTCTGTAAAACACAAGGGTGAGCTCAAGCTGGAAGGGAAGGGGTGCAAGATGTAAAGCAACTGCATCCCACAGCAGAAGCACCTGGAACCTCAGTTCTTCCAGTCACCATGATCCATATTTTATGTTCTCTCCCCCCACAAAAAGGTATCTATGACCTCAGCATGCAAAACCTGCTCACACCACTACTATATCCCATTTCCTGAGTTGTCTGCCCTTTCAAAACTCAACCAGTGCTATCAACTACACTTAACAGGGCTCTTGGAGCACCTCAAGTGGTTTCACTCCTGGTTTGCTGGCACCTTTTTATCCGGGTCTGTCACCTTTCACAGAGAAAGAGAGATCCTGGATGTGCTTATGGTATTTGTCTGTAACTGTAGCAGTTAATGAGAATTCATCCCCAGCCCAAGTGAGTGACTAGAAGCTGCTGCCATCTGAGAGCCCTGTGGTGGCCTACATGAAATAATGAATGGAATTACTCCAGCTAATGGCAACTATTTAGAAAGCAAACAAAACACATGGGTTTTGGCTGGGCTTGGACCGAAGGGGCTCCCACTGATCTTAGATATTTTAAAATGTCTCTGAAAGAAAGGGAAGCTGGCATGTATTTGAAATGCCCACAGTCTAGTTCAATCTACAGAATACAAGCAGAAAGATGCAGCACTCTTCAGTAATCTTTGAGATGTGAGATGCATTGTTGTGTCCTAAATCATATACAAGAGGACAAATGCATTGGCCTTAACTATCTCAACAAACTCATTAATTACCATTTAGTTTCTGAACACTGAAATGCATGAACAGCAGAGGGACTTTCTTTTAAAATGTAGACATTGTAAGGATTCTTAAAATAAACTCCCTGTGTTTCACTGTTTTGAATTATAAATGGATTTGAAGGACAATTCAGTGACTCAACCAGTGGGACTGTAGTTTGACCTACACAACAGATTACACCACAAGGGAAATGGCTTTCTGTGATTTCAGTCAGTAGGATGGAATTATTTCTGTTCCTTTCAGTACTTTACCAAATTTATTAACTGTTGAGGAACAGAGATGACTAAATGGTTCGGTTTCCCTTTGCCGATTTCCTAAACATTTCACCACAGTTAGGGTTTGGAAATAGACAGTTTCCTTTAAACAGTCATTAGTACTACTGTACCTCAGACCATAAAACCATCCCTTATTGGAAATAAAAGCAAGATTGCTGAGCTAGTTGGCATGCACTGCTGTCTGCATGTTGTAGAACTGCACTCGGAAGTTCAAGCCTCCTTTCCAGGCACACACCTCAGTGCTTTGACTTTCAAAACCACTGAACACCTAACAGTCCTGCTGCACGATCTCAGCTCTTCTGGAATCAAAGCATTTAATGCTTTCTTTAGTGTCTATCTGTAAGTTTAGATGCCATCTTAAGTTATGCTTTAATTGACAACAAATTAAGTTTGTAAACACACAACCTGCAGTTCTGACATCCCAGTAAGTTTACAGATCTCTCTCTAACCCAAGTACCCTTCTCTTACATTAGAGGCTGCCAAGCAACCTGAGCAGTCCTGCACAGCTAATACACAGCCTGAGAAGCCCCTTGGTGAGTGCTCAGCATATGCCTGCCACACACCTTTGCCTTAGATGTCACACACACAGCTTGTGTCCGCAGTCCCAGCTGACCCACCTGTCCTTTACTGTCATAGCAGCATAACACCGTGGTGCTTAAAGATGACTCTGTGAGACTTTTGCACTGATGTGGTATATTTGAGACAAAACTACAGTAGAAACATTTCAAGACTGGGTAGAGTGGACTACAGATCACAGTTTCTTGTTCCCATGAACAGTGTCAATACAGATCTTAGTGCAGTGCCTAAAGCAGTTCATACATCACTACCGTTGTGAAACAGAAGAGGGCGCACTTCGTTTTATAAAAAACCCACAAACCAACAAATAAATTATACATTGAGAGCTACTGCCAAGCTTTACATATAAAAGGTAAAAACACAGTAGTTAGTGTGGTTTTAACAAAAAAAGTCTAGCTAAGAAAAGTCTTACATACTTTAAAAATAAGTTTGTCCAGTTGTGGGGGTGGGTGTTTATGAAGCAGAGTGCTCACACCAAACAGTAACAAGGAGTGAATTTTGTAGGAGAATCTCACAGCTCCCTGCTGCATAGGGTCTGACTTCAGCACAGAGGTAGCACCCACTCCTTGGGCACACACCACCACACAATGCTGAGCAATGGATCCTGGCTGCAGCAGCCTGTGGGTCTCCCTCCTGAGCACCCTGAATGAAATCACACCTGTGCTGCCTCCAGTTGGGCCTGGCAGCAGGGGCCAACACGTCCATGATGCTGACACTCAGCCAAACACATGGGGATCACATCGGCACCGCTGAAAGGCCACTAGCGTGCTTTGTTGGGTTTTTTTTGGGTACAAAAGTAATGATTGTCCAGCTGCATTTGAAAGCTGTGACACTACCATGTCTAAAAGCTATCTATACACACACTACAACCTTCTAGACTAACACTCTGTGTGCCCATAGAGCTTTAAATGCTATCTGGCTGTGCAACAGAGCTGCTAATACTTAATCTGGAGAAGTTCTGGGCTGTACCAGAATATGTTCACCATGTGAAAAATATATCCAATGCTGTTGGTGAAGGACACGCTGACCTTAACAGTACATCTTTGCTTCAAGAAATGAGAATGAGGAAGGTGCAGACAACACGTTAACAGGCAAGGGCTGAGAACAGTTTGTGAAGAGACTCAAATATAACTGTACTGTTTGCCTGAACTCCTCTAATGGTGCTGCAAATTTTCTTGTCAAAGTTGTGTCCAAAAAATTGTCCAACAAATAGCTTTTACACAGCTGCCTTTGACAAAGTGTACATGGAATTTAATCAAGCTAATTCATGAACCATGACAGATTACCAGGTAAGTAGTTGTTTTATGTCATTCAACTCATCTAATTTTAAGCCGTTACTGCTGAAGAAGATTCCCTTAATTCAAGTGCAAGACGGCCTGAACTCCCACACTTAAATACCTGTTCCACCAGCTCGTCAGACCATCACCACATAGCCAGCATGTGCAGATGCTCTGGTCTCTGCCTGTCGGACTGAGCAGGTCAGCCTGAAACGCCGTTCTAAGATCAACACCTCCCCAAGATTCAGCAGTTTGAGATAGAGACCAGGGTGTTTCTGTTATTATAAATGTTAAGAGTTCTATAAAACCTTTTACTCCAATCACTTACAG